GTGGCGTGTCCTCAGTCAACAGTTGACATGGAACATTAATTTGCGATCTATTAGCCATGTTTGAATTCTGTTTACGAGATTTATCTGCCTTCCATCTATAAACGGAACATAAATATTTGTCAAAGGCAGAGATTGGTAAATTGATACAAAATTTACAACGAGAATCAAAGGAACATGGAGTAATGCAACTAGGGCATTTTAAATGTGGATCGGTATCAGAATAACGTAGTTTACAATCTGTGCAAATTTTCATTAATGTAGCCTACTGAACAATCACGGCGAAGCGTGAATAAACAGCAGAAACACAATTAATAATCAATGCAAATTGAATAAATATACTAGTAATACCTCTATACTAATGTATAAGAGGAACTAACTAAATATAAATAAAGGATATAGTGTGTTGGGAGACACAGGTGCTCTCACGTCCAGCTCACTGGGCGAAGAAGGAGAGAGTGAGGCACATTGGCTTGGGTGGCGCCCTCGTTCCCGCGCTTGCAGAAGGGAGGTAACTCGTGGTCAGTACTAATGAGTGATTTTTTATTGAAGGGAACTTCAATTGGGAGATACAAGTGTTCCACTAGGTTCGCCAGAAGATGAAGACAAGCAAATAAGCATGAGTCAGGATAAGGAAAAATTTGATATTTTATACTTATCCTGACTCATGATCTTTGCTTATCTCCCTTTCCCTTTCGAATGGTAGTGGAACACTTGAATCCCTTGATGTTCCCGAAGCGGACGTACAATACTCACCCACGAGTTACCTCCTTTCCTCTTTCCCGCGTAAATGTACCATGTGACGTGCCTCACTTGTCACTCTCTCCTTATATTTTCGCCCATGCACTTGGATCTGCTGTGAAATCACAAGTGTCTTCAACGGGAAGGTTGGGAGTACTAGTACTTTTCCTAGTAAAAGTCATCTGCAAGTCAACGAGATAAAGGGTGAGATTTTCCAACTCAGCGCGCCTTTGAGGAACCGTTAGTTGCTGTGCTACAACAAGAGGCCCAAATTGGTGAATGCCTGAGACGTCTTCAGTGTCTATGTCTCAGAGGTAGTGGTTGGCAAACACCGTGTCCGACTTCCAGAAGCAGCCCTCCATTATTGTCGGTATAGAGCAATTTCGTGTGGGTTGGAGGCTCTAGGAGGTTCTAGTCCTGCTGCTTTGTAGGCTCTCAATATAACGGCTCTCATCCAGAACGATATGGTCGTTCTTGAGACTTCAGTTGATGTCTCAGTTGATAATGGGATGAATAGGCGCTTGAATTTCCTTCTCCTCGTCTTAGTCTTTTGAAGATATACCTTCAAGGCTCTGACTGGGCACAAGGATAAGTCCTCTATATCTTGTGGGCCGAGGACTGTAGATAGCGCTGGTACGTGGAATTGTCTATCTGGTTGACCAGGTAGTTGATTCTTGGCAATAAAGTCCCATCTAAGTCCTAGATGAACTGTATTATTTTGCCCTCTGTCGAATGTCGTTCGACCGTAGTCCAGCGCATGTATCTCCGATATGCGAGCTGCAGTGGCTAACGCTAGCAGGAACAGCGTCTTCTGTGTTTGTACCTCAATCGTGATCTGGTCTAGTGGTTCGTAGACATCACTGGTAAGATGACGTAGAATTACATTCAGGTCCCAGACTGGAGCTCTGAATTTCTTTTGTTGGTCTTCCAACTTGAATGATCTCAGTAGAGCAAGTAATTCTGGTACTTTCGTCAACTTGATGCCTGTTTTCATGGTAATCACTGTACTGATGGCAGCGAGGTAAGTCGATAGAGTCAAATCCTTTAGATGTCTGGTCTGTCTCAGATGACATAGACATTCCGCCACTTGAGGATGCGTAGCTATTATGGCTGTGAAGCCTTTCCGCCTTGCGTAAGTTTCAAACTTCAGCCATTTATCGTCGTATAGGTTGCGAGTCGATCTGCGTAAGGCTAGAGTTACTGCTTTGGCTGCTCTGGTGGAGTATCCTCTTTTTTTCAAACACATTTTGATACAGTCCACACGTGTAGTTGGAACACTGCTGGGATTCCGTGGACTTGCTTGGTGTGCGGATGTATCAGTAGGTTCGGCCAATCTGGAAGCTTGATTACTGGACTTCCTAGGTTTTCTAGTAGATCTGGAAACCATGCTCTCGCTGGCCAGTAAGGCGCAACCAAAGTCAGTTGTAGCGTCTGTGTCTGTTTGATCTTGATCAGTACTTTTGGCAGTAGTATCGGGGGTGGAAAAGCGTAGCCGTTTAAGGTACGTTCTTGGCTCCGGGTATGTGACACGCCTTTGTCCAGATGTCTGCTTTTTGCGTGATCTGGAACAACTGGAATGTGAGCTGCAATAGGCTTGGAGATCTTGTGGATCCTTGCCGATTTATAGAGAACGCCACTGTGTAGTTGTCTGTGTAGATCATCAACATCTTGTTGTTCAGCAAGCTCAACCATAGTTGTACGGCGTTGATCACTGCTTTCATCTCTAGTAGATTGATGTGGAGCTTTTGTTCTGTATGAGACCACTTTCCCGACGCTACTTGATCGTTGAGATGTGCCCCCCATCCTTTCAACGAGGCATCCGCGTAGAGGTGTGTCTTGAAGGCCGGCTCTTGTAAATAGACTCCTTCGCAGACATTCGACCTGTGTGTCCACCATAGTAGATACCTCTTGAGGTTTTCGGGCAGCAGGACAGGGTCGACACTGTCCAAATGCTTTATAAGGAACCGTTGTAGCGGTCTTAGCTGTAACCCTCCTATGTGCGTCAAGTCTTGCGCCAAGGTTAGTAGACCGAGTAGAACTTGCCATGATCGTAGTGTTAACGGAGAGGTGACTGCCGGTGGAATCATGGCTTGTATCTTGACCCATCGATCCTCTGGGATGACGATTCGATTCCCTGTAGTGATGAATCTTATCCCCAGGAATTGTAGATCTTGTTTTGGTTCCAGTTCTGACTTCCTTAGGTTCACCAACCATCCCAGTTGAGTGAGCAACTTGATCGTGAAGTTCGGTTGTAGTCTGAGTAGACTTGCATCTTGGTGGACCTGAATCCCGTCGTCCAGGTAGAAGGCATTGCGTAGACCTCGTTGATGAAGGTATGCGACTATAGGCTTGGTTAGCCATGGGGCCTCCAAGCCGTTACTTCAGAGTCCGAGAAGACGGGGTCCGTAGTGTCATGAGTCAGAGAGCTGTGTCTTGCTGACGTATCTCTGTGTGAGCCTGTATCCCTTCGCGAACCTTCATCCTGGGTTCGCGAACCTGCAGCTGAAGATTCCTCCCTGTGCGAACGTCTGTCATAGGAAGCGTTCCCTTCACGAACGTCTCTCTCTGGAACCTCTTTGCGAACCTCCGTGTGGTGAGCTGTGCCTTCGCGAACGTCTGCGTGGTGATCTTGATCTGGATCGGCTAGGCGTCGAGGCAGGCGTCTCATCTTGACTATCTCGTAGTATGATGGAGTCGTCCGGTTGTGGAGCCCTTCGCGGAGGAGTACGTTCGCCAACATCAACTGCAGGTGTAGCTCTGATGGGTGTAGATTCGCGCAGGCCAGTGGGTTTGCGCACGGTGTCGGTAGACTGTTGGGTCTTCCTTGATTCTTGCTGGAATCTCAGCTCCATCATAGCCATCATCTTGTTGGTAAACTGCGTCATGAACTCCCCCCCGGGGCGAAGTTCTGCATCTGTTGAATCGGCTGCGATGCTGTTTTCTGTGCCTCAACTTCTGTCCTCGAAGGAAGAGGTCTTATGTCCGACAGCTGGCCTGCTGTGACATTCATAGGTGATGATCTAGTGGTAGTTGACATCGACTGCGTCATAGATGTCATCGATACCTCAGGTAGTAGTATAGGGGGGTCGTCAAATACGTCTTCCTCATGCGGCGGTACGATCACTTCGTTGAAAGATCTCTGCTTAGCAGCGGTAGCACGTTTAGTTTTGCCCTCAGATCTAGTACTCGTAGACTTTCTCTGCATAGTAGAAGAAGTCACCGTCTTCTTTTTAGACTGGGACGGCGTAGGTTGCGAGGTTGACGACCTTTTCTTAGCCCCCTTTGCCGTAGACTGGCTCTGTAATGTACTAGGCAACATATCACTATTATGAACATCAGCAGCAAGCAACATACGGTTTTGGGGCTGATCTCCAGATTTATCACATGTGACTAGAGATGTCTTTTTCATCCGATCCATGGCACGTCTATAAACATAAGACAGATATTGATTAAATAGTAATTCAGTTAAATCAATACAGTAGCTACAACGCAAGGTGGATGAACATGGATCTGTACAGGATGGACATTTGGGGTGAGGATCAGCCAGAGACAACCTGTGTTTACACACACAGCACGATTTCATGAATTGTAAACGAAGTTACAACACGATGAAAACATTAGTCAAAGTCAATAAATTTCAACAAATTTGTACAAATACTATATCGTAATTATAAACAAAACCATACACAGCTTAATTTAGAAGAATAGGCCTAAATATAAATGATAGATTGCCGTATACGGGACTCCAGTGCTCGCCCAACCATCCGCTTGGGTGAAAAGGAGAGAGTGACAAGTCTGGGCACGTCACATGGTACGTTTGCACGGGAAAGAGGAAGGGAGGTAACTCGTGGGTGAGTATTGTACGTCCGCTTCGGGAACTTCAAGGGATTCAAGTGTTCCACTACCATTCGAAAGGGAAAGGGAGATAAGCAAAAGATAATGAGTCAGGATAAGGAAAATTTGGCAATACAATTAATACAAAACTCACATCAAAAGATCATGAAGGAATGTCACAAGTTCTGTTTTTGAAAACAACACTCAACTGAAGATCAGTTTACAGGCGTTGTTACATTTCTGTTAGAATAGCTGTATCTTGATCAATGATAGCATACACAACACAGTATTGTAAACGACAAAGGTGAAAGCATGTGTTCAAGTCAGTTTCAGTCAATCAATGATAGCATACACAACACAGTATTGTAAACGACAAAGGTGAAAGCATGTGTTCAAGTCAGTCAGTCTAAAATATGTGTTATAAGTACCTCAGATAAAGCCTGAGTTCTTGAAGAATAAGAAGAAGGTCGCCAGTCAGGAACTGTAAGAAATAACCAGAACTATTAAAAAAGAATATTTCAAACACACTCAGGAAAACAACAGAATGTTATGCTGATCCTATCCATCATTGCTTTGTTTGATTCAGGATTACTAGTCTACAAACTAGTGTGCCTACAGCACAACTCACTCACTTATGTAAAATACTACCGGCAAGCTATATCAACATCTGAGAGCATGAGAATATTGAAGCTATGCTTACCCCCTGCTGGTCCTGCTCTAGAAGAGGTACAGACGTCAGGTCCAAGTTGAGTGCTGTCTCCACCCCCCACTTGATGATGTACTGACTCTCATGCTGGTAGCATCGCCTCAGCACTGTCACCACCCAGGATGTGTGTAGGCACCAGCCAGCCTCTGCCCACACAGAATAGTTCACAATAGAACACTTGCAATGCATACCTCTAAATATCAAACCCTTCTTCAAACCTCGAGTCCTTGGTCTCTCACAGCAATTATTTAAAGGTACTTGCCCATGGTCTAATAACATCAAGACTAGATAACTGCAACAGTTTGCTTCAGGGCATCAGTGGTAAACTGCTATCTAAGCTACAGTTGCTGCAAAATTCTGCAGCACGGGTCATCACAAGAACACCAAGACATGTGCACATGACACCAGTGCTCAGAGACCTCCACTGGTTGCCAGTAAAAGCTAGAATAGAGTTCAAGCTTCTCTGTATCACATATCGATGCCTCCATAACACCAGCCCTGACTATCTATCTGAACTCTTGACTCAACACACTCCAGCACGTAAACTCCGATCAAGTGACCAAAATCTCCTCCAAGTTCCTAAATATCGACTGAAGACATTTGGCTCCAGATCCTTCTCCAGCACTGCCCCTATCCTCTGGAACTCACTTCCATCAGAGTTGAAACTGTGTCCAACCTTTGAGAAATTCAAATCAAGACTAAAGACCCATATGTTCTCCAAGTATCATAGTGACATTTAAATCCAGTCAACACTCCCTGACTTTTATCTTTATACAATCCCCTTGTAGCGCCTTGAGCAGGCATATCTGTCTGGATTGCGTGCATTATAAATGCACATTTATTTATTATTTAATATCCATGTTATAATCAACCAGTTTTCCAAATTACTTGGTTAAGCCAAATACATATAGAATGCACTTTGGTGTTTGAACTACACTTTCTGTTCGCCCACCAAGATACAAAGTTCATTGATCGTTTGTATGTTATGTTTGTAACCAGCAAGAAGCTGCTAGCCAAAAGGGAGTAGCAGTCAGAATGGTAGATGTAGAGCAAAATGTTAAGGAAATTGAAAATATTGGTCATATATTATGTAGCATATTACCATATCTACATAGTGCTATAAGCCATCAGAGCTAATATATAGCTTGATGCCAGTGTTTTGTGTTACAAGCCCCAGTGGAATATAAACCTCTGGTGAAAGCAACACAGTAACAACTGAGTAATAATTGATGAGAGATTCCAACTCTGCAGTGTGAATGTTCACAGTGACAAGTTGCGTGCTTCTAGCCATAGTGGCTTAACCATAAATCCTTTAAGAATTCCCCTCTATTATCATTATTATAATGATTTTGTATTAAATGCCCCCTGAAACTAAGCACTGTTACCCTTGTGCATCGTTCTAAGAAAACTACCTCTCTAACATCACAGTCGTCTTCACTGTCAGAGATCTAATGAATAACTGCAAGTGAAACAAGATCAAGACAGATCAACTGCATAAGTGCAAGGCCGGAATAGTTCACTTCAACAAATACTTATCAGCCTTACTAAATAGGAGCCAGGAGGTGAAAGTTAGCATTCTCAGAATTATATACAAAATACCCAGAATTTTAAATACCCAAGAATAGAACTTCAAAGAATTTTGATGCAATGATCTGAAACTTGTACGTGAAATTAAAGTAATAATAACCTCATCATAGCTGTTTGGTACAGGTTATCACTATTGCTGGACATCTGTATGCCACTGCTTCCCATGGTCTGGGGAAAACTTTAAGTTGACTTACACAAGTCAAATTACAAAAACTATGACTAACAAGAAGTCAAAAGTACACCATTGATGATACATGTATCTATGCTCTATCAATTCGAGTTTGCTTCATGGCATCAATACCTGAAAGGACTGCAACACCTGAATGCACATATGCCCCCTCAACATAAAAAATGTCCACTGATGACCGAGAGATTGGGCTCTGTTGACCAAAGCAATCATAATGCTACAACTGTTCTCTTTGTGGAACATGACCCTAATACATACAGGCATGCTTGAACCGGGATGTGACCCAACAACCATAATTTGATTGTTTGATGGGCATTCTAGAAGTTGGTGACTCAGAAATGAAACATACAACTTTATGGATGACAACTTCTTATATATACCATCGGCTCTATGAAGAACTAATCAAACTATAGACTCTACAAAGCATCCAATCAGCTTGTTATTACAACTTATACCCCTTGTTTATTGGCTTCATTCCCAGTCTCATTTGTTGTTCTTAGTCTCCCACTGGCCTCTCATAATTATGTACCAGTTGTTATTCAATTACATGTTGTTGTTAATGTTAATCTGCTGTTGTCAAAACATACTATGTATATATACCCCTCTACATCTGGTTGTATTCACTTTTAGCTTGATAACGATGTACGAATCTACATCAAAACGTCGCTTCATGCAATAAATAAGAAGTTGTCATCCATAAAGTTGTATGTTTCATTTCTGAACCATATTTTGCAGAGCCAAGAGACTCTTCACAGCAAATTTCTGGGATTCATATGAACAAAGTTTTCTGTAGTAGATGTACTACTATATAGCTCTGAAGACTAAGGATATATCCCTTGGTTTGGACAGAAGTGTAGGGTGACTTTACATAAGAGCCATACATCACCTGTGAGGGCAGCAGCTTTCACAAGTGACTGCATCCGGCCTAACAGGGGCTTTATTACATGAACCTGCAACATACACACAAATATAGTCAATGAAGCACAGCAGTTAGAAAACAATTAATGACACTGGATACTTGCAACTACATGACTTACCTATACAGTCTATAAGCTGTGTGTACTAATAATTATTACTTAATTCATCTGCAGATCATGTCCTGTTTATTTGCCTTTAGCTATCATCTACTGTTCATCAATCTCATTTTTTATCATCATTATGCACTAATTGAGGTATCCTTCTCACTTCAAATAAGTTGGGTTTTCACTGTATCTAATCACTTAAGATCTTCTGTGACCATAAATCTTCACAAGAATGTTCATCTTCATACGAAGCCAGGCAGTTATATTTGGGATGGCACAGTGACATCCACCGTAAACATACAGCTCCACCCACCACCAGGATCCTATCATCCAACATGCTGCTCTGACACACAGCTATTGATCCAAATAAGTGAACATGGAGAAACATTAACCACTGGCTGGTCAACAACGTAAACCAGCCTCGCAGAACACTACAGCCACATCTCCTGAGATGAAATGGGAGAGTGTACACCCTGAAGGGTTCACACCTCAGTTAAAAACTGTACTTTTATTGTTATTCTGTTACCTTACCTTACATAAGGACAACATGGTACACTAAATGTACTGGTAAACGTAATTCCTCTGCACAATTCAAGCTTTGCAGGTAGGCTATCTGTTTCTGGCCATATTGGGGAAGTTGGTGAGCATAGAACAAATTTTATGGATAACAACTTCTTTAATTCATGAGTGCGACATTTCGATACAAATTCTTGTACTGTTGTCATGACTCCTGCTTGATGATACAAGAATCTAGTTGTCATCACTCCTGCTTGACGGTACAAAAATCTATATCTCACCAAATAAAGAAGTTGTTAATGTTATCCACAAAATTTGTTCTATATTGTACGTCTCAACTTCTGAAATGCCACTCAAAGAAGTTGGGGAGCATTTACTCGCATCAAGCAAGTCAGCAAGCCCGATCCTGTTTGTCACAAGCATGGGTTGTGGAAGACCAATTCTATCCCATATCTTCAGGGGTCTACGTGATATGTGACATGTATGTTGTGGAATATCTGCATTACTAAAGTACTGTCGGAAATAGAAAAAAATCTGGGGTTTTTTTTGCATTTATATCTACAATTTATGTAGTTAATATTAGGGGTGAAACGGTACACTTTTACCTCGGTACGGTACGTATTGCGGTATAAGGCCTTCGGTTCGGTCCGTTTCGGTTCAGTACATGAGATCAGATCATAATGCACAAAACTGACAACAAGAGCCAAACCTTACAGTGTTTAATAACATGGAAAAAAATAATCATAATCTTTGTTATTTTGAATGAACAAAACTGTTTCATGACAAGATAGAAGAACTAAAGTATCATTGGAATCTTGGAGCTCACAGCTGTGTGGCAAAATAGCAAGTAGCCAAGTATGATTAAAAGTCACTAAAATCACATCAGCTTTTAATGCAGTGAAATCATCACGTCCCCGAAATGTTCATGTTTAAAAAAACACACCAAAAAACGATACACAAATCAGATCCTGTCGAATGTGACTCTGTTGATGACATATCACAGATAAATAAATTAAACAAATTAACTCAACACAGTTGTCATAAGACAGTTACAGTTTGTGTGACAGATCATTGTCCTTGCTCTAAATCATTGTCTATCTCTTGTTTCAGTCAGTTAAACATTTAGAGACTTTCCAGTCCTTGGGAAGTACTGCTTCATAGTACTGCTATCTTGACACATTCCAGAATTATGTTTTATTCAGTTTTCAGATTCATTCAAAATATCTTTTAAATTTCACTCAGAAATGTATTTCTCCTTTCTGAAACAAATCTTTTTATTGGTCGTTAAATGTTCATTGTTCTGATATAGCTTGTAATGAGATGGTAGCAACAACAAACAAACATAAGTGTGAAGGGAAAGCCACCAGATCCATACTTACAGTCATCCCTCGTCTTAACTCCAGTCTATGGATGGCCCCTGAGTTATGAGACACCCACGTTATACATTACCAAGAATATAGGCCAAGTAAAAATGTATTTTCCATTGACATAACAGAACTGCTATTTCGTGTATTGTGCCCAGTCAAAACTATATCATATCGTCGTAGTTAAAAAACAAACTTTGTAAATGAAAATAAATATGTGTATAGGAAACCTGCAATCAAATTAAACATCACTCTACATGATAATTCAGTTGTCCTTCCTGTTATGCTACCTGTTATTCAACTAAGCCAGAAATAACAATCAGCTGTGTACTCATGTTTTGCTCCAGTCTACCGGTGATTCAGGTAAAAACGATCTGAAAATATAACATCAAAGGATGTCTATTCCATTACCAGAATAATTTATATCTCAAGCAGTTATTTTAACAGAGATAATATATATCACTGTGGTATTAGTATTATGCATGTTTTCTACAAACATATTTAACATAAGAATTAACATACTAGGTTCAGTACTTTAGGTTACGTGGCTGGATACATTTTACGTATGAGACAGTTTGACAAGTCACCGTTGACTTCCCGCGGTACTTGCCACTTTGATTGTAAAAACAAAATGTTGGCAATTAATTGTGAAATATGACTTCAATGAATCAATGGTAATCTGGTCTTGAGTGCTGAGAATAACTTGAAATTAGTGCTATCGCGGTAGGCACGAGAAGCGAACCCTTATGAACAAGGTAAGGGGAAGTGGTAAGCGTATAGAATGAGGTGATGCATTTCACACGTTTTCTCTGATGTTACTGTAAACAGTTTTAATGAAAGAAAATGGGATTAAATTTAATCAAATAAAATGAAATCGAGGAAGATCGTTTTATTATGAGTTTTCTGACATCATACATTTTTGGATGGCAGTGTTTACCTGAACTATAACGCGGTGTGTTGCATCAGGGAAAAAACGTAAGTACCCGTCTGATGGCGTGTATTTATGATAAAGTTGACTTTTATAAGTTATTACAATGTTTTGCTGTTCACCTAATTTGAAATAACTGAAAAAGAAACAGAACCCAGCTATAGCTACTGATCTGGTATCTGCAGTTGCTGTCTTCCTGACATTGTAAGTAGACGACTTGAGGCGATCTCAAACTTACTCCCAGGAAAATAACGGCCACCAAGCTAAGAAATGCATAGATTTTGACCAGATAATTCGATTTGTAGACATTTTAGAAAAGGTTTAAAGTGATTAATAAAATGACGGCAAGAAAACCGAAAATACCAAAGTTTTGGATTGCGGTTGTACTAACACCGCAGTATACCGTTTCACCCCTAGTTAATATGTGAAAAGGTGAAATATCTGTTAAACTAAGTTCGGCCTAACTACAGTCTCAGTGGTAGGGAGATAGGAAACGGAGAAAAAATACTTTACTGAGGAGAGATTAGTGCAGAAATGAGCAATGCAGTTTTTTTCTACGTCAAAAGCGACTTATTTGGAACAGACCATGGCTTTATGCAAATTAGTGTGCAATGATATTGTATTACAAAGGAAGCTTTTTAAAGGTCCATTTTGAAATTAAAATTAGCTTCATTATAAGTGATAACTGACGTAAAAAATAATAACTTTAATACTGAAACTATTAAGGATGCAGCTACCATGGAGTCTCACTACCACTATAAAGAGAAACAGGTAGGAAGGGTCATCTCAAAAGCTATCAGATATCAGCTAAGATAAGATAATCCTTTAGGGGAATTAAACTTTTAAACTTAGGGGAGTAAACGGCATGTCATACAAATTTACAAATAATGTAAAGTCCTGTCGATCTTCGGGTGGTCATGTCACCTATACATTTTGACACATTTAATACGATGGCTAATTTAAGCTTTTCTATGGGTATCATACTCTTTTACATATCTCAACATAAACTTTATGAAAGAAAGACACGTAAGATGGTAATCAATAGATGAGACATATACAACGCACATGAAAAAGCATAAAATATCTTTGAGATGACCCCTTGTGCTTGTATGCAGCACATGCATTTCATGCCAGGTGAGTCGACGGTCCTAGCTGCCATCTATAGTCTGATCTATTGTTTTCTGCAGCTATTCGTATATTTTCCCGATTTTAGGAGTAAACATGCTTTTCTGGATATCCTATTACACAGCCTACTGAACGTTCAGTTAGGCCGATGTGGGTTATTTTGACATATGCTATTTGCAATTGTGTAAATTTTAGGGACACAGAGTAACAGCCTAAAAACATTTTTTTTCTATTTCCGACAGTTCTTTAGCAAATTAACTTTCTTACTACTTGCATGTAGGGTTAAATGTTTTCACTATTACCTGCCTGTCATTGGGAGCCTGGTCTTTCAAGAATATTCTGGGAGAATTATAAGTATAGCTGAGTTGGGCGACCGCCGCATAATGTAGCGATGTAGTGGTATGTCATATAATGATGGCTGCCAGTCACTCTGGACATTGCATCCCCTTTTCTTGTGTTTAACTCCATAAGCTCCGAAATGGCAGTAGACTGTGACTTCATTTTGGCACATATAACAATAAGTATTGTGAACTTGTAAACATGGTAAATGAAGTCATTACTGAGAGTGACATCAAACTAATCAGAGGCATTCATAACACCTTAACCTAAGCACATACCAGTACTGAATGCATTAGGACACTATCACCTGTTTTTCTTCCAGGGTTTCAACCAACAGTATGTAGTGCTCCCAGATGAGGGCCAGATCCGTTTTGGCTGAAGTTTTCCACTGGAAGATAGGACAAGCTCCCCCTGTCATATCAGTATTCACATCTACATTGTTCCTTTCACAGGTGTCTACAATCCTCTTCAACAAGTACAATGAGCGTTTTCTTGACACTGGGTTTACACTGTACAAGCCTCCCTGAAGCATCTCCCAGAAACTGTCACTACATCGTAAATCCTCTTCAATCTTCTGTTCAGAAATTGGAAAGTAAAAATCTGCTAAGCTACAAAACATGACAAGTGTTTTATCTTCAGACTGGCTCTGTTTGACTGTTTGGCCGAGTAACTGAGTTTCTCTCCACAGCATGGCCAGTTTACTATCTGCAGATCTGGGATCTTTTCGAAGTATAGGAGAAAGGACACCACTGATAACTCTTGCAAATAGTTTATCTGACACAAGAGGAAATGTACCAATAAGCTGAGTAAAGATCTTATTTAACAGGTCACATACTTCATGTTCAAATACTGTGTTCTTATTTCCATTCATGTATGTCCTGAGCAGTTCCACAGTGCATGAGACACCCAAGTATTCATCATTATGTTGTGATGTGCCATAAATCCCAGGACCGTCATTGCAAAAGGATTGCAGTGCATCAACACAGTATTGAAGCACTTTCACTACTTGACCTGAAGTAGAATTTTCTAGACTTGTTACAAGGAGTTCACATATGGCAAGAAGAATCTGATGTGTTGATTCACCGCTGACAGAATGCATGGATGACTGGAACAGTCTCAACATGGGTATACATACACTCCAGATGATTGAGTCAGTTTCTGAAACTATGTCTTCCTGGTCTTGGGTATATGATTTAATGTTCTTGACTAGTCTGCACAGGATTTCCAAGTTGGCTGTATATTTCCCATCCATTATCTGTTCACCTGATGGTACGTTGCTGCTTAGTTCATGAACCAAATGTTTAATGATTCTTGTGCCATCAAAGTCTACCAGGTGACTGATATGTTCAATAATTTCTTCCATTGTTATCGCGACTATAAAATCACTAGCTGAACGTGTAGTTACCAACGATTCCTTGACTTGGCCGCTGATACGCCGACAACAACCACGTTGATGACCATGCAGTGATTGCCTAAAGGCCGGACAGGCTCGGGTAACATGGTAATACTAAAATCTGATGTCTGATTAATAAAACGGACCAAACGAGATACAATTAATGGAACAACTCCTGCAAATAAATAAATGAGTTGGTTTACATTAAGAGTATTAGTATGCATGCCAGTCAATAAACTGTGCAAATGAAAATAGCAGAGAACATTTCGAGACGGTTCATAAACCTAAAAAGTGCAATTTCACTTTTTTTACGATCTCTTCATTCTCTATCCGACGGAAAAGTACAACATGCACCTGGCTTACTGAATAATGTTAAATGACACAACAAACACATATTTAAGCTCTGTTTGTTTTAGAGAATGGGCGTGTACAGAAACTGTAATATATATTCAGGGACGGATACAGCTTTTTGAGAAAAGGGGGATGGGGGTGGGGGTGCACACTACTGAGAAAGGAGGGGTGCACACTTTATTTTCACGAGTTTCAATGGTCATTTAATAAACTTTCAGGACAAAAGGGGGGTGGGGGGTGCGCATAAGCTATGAATACACGATGCTGTTTGGGAAGTCGTCAAATATAACATCATATATATATTACAGATTCGAACACCAATTATTAAAGTACTAGAATCTACTTTACTGAGAAATGCCGAGGGACTGTTCACTGTAGGGTGACGGTTCAAGTGAACTCGACAGAAAATCGGTACACTCTTCAATTTAACATTCTTCCCATTATCAGCTGACAGAATGGTTCAACATGACAACGCTACACCACGCACTGCTCATGTCACTACGGACGTCCTTCGTAATTCTAACGTCAAACCAGAGACCATCGGGTCGTTACATGATAATACATTCAAATCAGATCTGGATTTATACCCAATCTTAGATTGAACGATAAACGGTGACACGCGAAATGCCACACTTGAACATATTCCCCAGGCGTGACTGAAAAAGTCCAGGTGGTCGGTTATCTCCCTTGTCCTGGGGACACTTGTATTCTTGCACTGATAGAATGATGTTCTTAACACTGCTGTATATCCTAGAAAACCCTCAGAGGCCGGAATTCGTTAATTCAAACAACCGTCCTATTATGTATTTTTAGTCTTCGAACATAGTTAGACACAGCTGTGTTTGACAAATGGAAATATTATGCACATAGTGGCCAATATTACTTTTCACAACCCAATTCGTTTCACGATTCCTCATTTACGATTAAACCTTCCCAGTCTCTTGTAGGCCGATCGACTTGTCTATTTGGAAGCCATATTATGTTGCACGTGTGCGGCGTGTGCTGCTCATTGTGTAGGTTTTGTCTTTGTATCTTTAACAGAATGGTATGAACGTCGATAATGCAGTAGAAAGTTGGCCCAGCCCGGTAAAAATGTTGTAAATGCACGTCTTTGATCATAGTGTATTATATTTTTTATATACCTACATTGTTGTTAAAAATAACATTTACCTCAAAGTCTAGAATTATTTAATAGTCTAACTGTTGTCATTTTAACTCGAACCGATTCCGTTCTGAAATTGGCAAGATGCCTTAGCAAACCCTAAACACGTGGCGGAAGTTTGTATTTTTAGCACCTGCGCATGGAAGCGCGGAAGTCCAAATCTTACTTCCGTATTGGGGGTGTGGTCAAAGCAAAACAATGGTACGTGCCGTTATAGTTATTTGTAGAATTGCAGGTTTGCTTATATTTTTAGGATAGCGCCAGGTTAATGTTTTGATAAGAAGTGATGAGGACACTATTTGGCTTGAGGTGAACTCAGCATCTGACTGCTCAGCCGCACAACAGTGAATGAGTTACAACTTGTAAATCGTCTATTGTATACATAATATGTCAAATTCATCAATTCTCTGGTACATTATTGCATCATTATGGGGTTAAAGAGACATAGGTGCTTTTATAGTATATGTTCCCCACCACCTAATTTTGTAACTATTTTACCACGTTTACTAATAATCCTTTCCTTTTTTTCTTTTTCTGTCTGGGTGGCGAACTCAGAGGTATATCTTATGACTGTAAACTTGACTTGGTGACAATACGTGGGATTTTGAAAGCCATCGAAGTTGCCGTCACAAACCGTTGATCAACAGAGACCAAATGTACTACATGCTATCGCCCTATCGAGGAGTTCACCGGTGAATTGGTCATCAGTAACCCATGCTTGTCGTAAGAGGCGACTAACAGGATCGGGTCGTCAGGCTCGCTGACTTAGTTGACACATGTCATTGTATCCCAATTGCGTAGATTGATGCTCGTGCTGTTGATCACTGGATTGTCCGGCCCAGACACGATTATTTACAGACTGCCGAGCTGGAATATTGCTGAGTGCGGCGTTAAACAACAAACCAACCAACCAACCTATGAAGAGTTAATCAAGCCACAGGCTCTATCAATAGCACCCCATCAGCTTATTTACTAGTTACCGTGGTATTTGTTGTTCTTTCTCCCCACCTGGCCTCATCCAATTATTTGCCACCTGTAATCAACTACATGCTGTTGTTAATGTTAATCTGATGTCTGTCATAGCATGTCACTTGGTTGTAGTCACCTTTAACTTGACAACGGTGTAAGAATCTACACCAAAACGTCTCTCTATGCAATAAACAAGAAGTTGTCATCCATAAAGTTGTTTGCTTCATTACTGAAAGAAACATGTAACCTAAACACATATGCATAATCTATAATACGGATTACAGGCTCATATTAAAAAACCATGTGATTGCAAAGTAAAGCAAACTACACATGAGAGTAAAGTTTTCATCAAACACCCCAAAATTAGGTTCACATTTGTCAGACTTCAACAAATACTCATGAATTAATTGTTAAATTTATATGACTTATATGTTGTTTTGAAATACTCCTTTGTTTCAGGCAAATGTACAAGTGTGCGATATACATGCAGATGTATTAGCTCTCCTGAATAAGTTCAAATTTAGAAGAGAGAAAAATGTAGCTGCAATTGTATGTAAGTACACAATATAAACCAGTTCTTATTATCTTAGAAATTGTATAACATGAAGGGGTATGGGCTTATGTCGTGGTCTGTTGCCCACTGTCTACTGATCTTGTTATGACTAGTGTTCATGACACGTCATGTCTGTGCACTGTCCTTAGGGCTCTTGTTAAGACCTGTGCTCATGACATACCATGTCTGTACACTGTCTTTAGGGCTCTTGTTATGACCTGTGCTCATGACATACCATCTCTGTACACTGTCTTTAGGGCTCTTGACTAAACTAACGCTAAGCCACCGAAATTACTGTTAGAGAAACAAAGGGCTACATTCAAATTGAAACGGAGGCGAAGTGAGATGGGAGATTCAGAACATGAACCCATGAAAACCTGGACTTGATTCATTTAGCACATATGATATACAAGAGTGAGACAGTCTAGGTCCATGACATTATTTGTCAGTCCATTATGTTCAGTCAAAGTCAAAATAAATCGATGATAAGATCGTGACCGCAGTTTCTTGGGGGCAACATGATGTTTCATTGGTGCTGACAATCCTTGTAAAATATATCTTGTCAGGAAGTGATAGTTGACAGGATGTGCACATTTGGTTGAAAGTCACTAAATAATATAGTAGTAGAAAGTTTAAAAAAAGACTGACTGATAGCATTGTATTTGAAAACGTGAATAGCAACTGTTGATTGGCTGTGTAAATGAGAACTTATGTCTTTAAAATAGAATTCACTTATGAATATCCAGATTTCAACTGGCAAACAACTAACTAACAGTACAGTGATCAGGAGATGATAGATGTGCAGGATTCTTACCACAGGAGTTGGCAGCTTGGTCTTGTAGTGTCCTTAACTACTTCTCTCATCTTAGTCTGTCTCACAGTCCCTGAACCACATTATTTTCCCTACTGCCTAGCCTTCCCTGCAATGCTAAAGCCCTAAATGAAGCAAGTCTAGATTCCTTCAGGTTCTGAATCTCTGGTCTCCCTGGGGTTCCTTTTCAATTTAAATGAGTTTGTTTGTCACTATCAAAGTTAGATAGTTGTTAGACAAAGCGTTGTCTACTTTCATCTGTGTTGTCCTCGATAGTTTCAGTGAATGTTTTTCAATTGATGCAATTCAATAAGAACTGATTAACCAGCCTAGAAGATTTGCTTGTTGTAGCCCCACTGATTGTAGCGTGACTGTTTACCAATAGACATATTTATTCTGTATGGAGATGAGAAAAGCCATTACAATCACTTATTGATCACACTGAGATGCATGATTTAAATATATATAATATCATATCAGAACAGGGGGATTATATACTGGAGTATGTAAACCAATGCAAATCTTGTTTCTGCACTATCGGTTATTATAAGGATTTCAAATGATTGAATTCACTCTATTCAAGACTATGTTTGAATGATTCAATCTTTTTGTTTTCTCTTTCAGTGAAAGTAGATTTTGCTAAACAACTGGTGATACTAGATGAGGAATATGAGGTACTGTGTTGTTGTGCTTCTGTCAAGTTGACCTACTCCAGGTCTTAACCCCAATAGTGGTTCACACATCCATTATCACTGACTATTGTGGCCATGTTTATGTAGTTTAGAATGTTATAGAAACCATTAATCATCTGGACCCAAATGGAATGCCCTCGTGGTCACAGGAAGACACTTTGCTGGCAGAACTATTGCAGAATTATTTGCATTAGTTGTGATTAAGACTCACATTTTGCTGTTGTTATCTAAAGTTGACAAAAGCCTTTCTTCTAAAGCATCCAAACCTTACTCTGTAGTCGTGTTTGAAACTGACAACTTGTGCAGTGTGAACTAACTTGACTGACATTTGTAACAGTTTTGATGGTAATGTTTTTGACATGTGATTTCAAGTTATGAGGTTTCTTGTTCATTTTAGCCTTCAAAGATAATGATTATGTTTTGTTCATTACCAATTGAGAGAAGTCTTAGACTTTCTGACCATTCAGGGACAACATTAGGAAATGACTGATGTTCTTGTATGCCATGTTTGTATCTACCTGCTGTTCTGTCTGGTTCTGACATATGAGTATTTCTCTTCAGGACTGTACAGTAGAGGAGGTTGCCAATGAACTTCCCGCTTCTCAGCCTCGATATGTCGTCCTCAGCTATGTACACAATCATCAGGATGGAAGAGTGTCCTATCCACTCATATTCATTTTCTGCACACCCCAAGGTAAAACAAACTGCCACCGTAAAGTCTTCTTTGAGAGGCATTTTAGAAGTTGATAGATGAAGGAAAACCAAGTTCTAAGGATAAACAACTTCTTTATTGCAATGGGATGGACGTTTCGGTGTAGTTACTAACACCGTTATCAAGCAAGTGCTTGCTTGATAACGGTGTTAGTATCTACACCGAAACATCACACCCATTGCAATAAAGAAGTTGTCTATCCATAGAACTTGGTTTTCCCCCACTGTGAAGTCCTTGAAAGAGACTCAGAAGTCGGAAGAATATGAATATATATGACAATTTTTATAAATAACTTTTTATTTATCATGACAATTCTTGCTCCTTCAAGTTGTTATCCCTGCTGTCTAGATGTAGCTTGTAGCACCCCTGTTGTCTAAATGGTAGCTTGTAGCACCCCTGTTGTCAAGTTGGTAGCTTGTGGAACCCCTGCTGTCCAGATGGTAGCTTGTGGAACCCCTGTTGTCTAGATGGTAGCTTGTGGAACCCCTGTTGTCTAGATGGTAGCTTGTAGCACCCCTGTTGTCTAGATGGTAGCTTGTAGAACCCCTGTTGTCTAGATGGTAGCTTGGGGAACCCCTGCTGTCCAGATGGTAGCTTGTAGCACCCCTGTTGTCTAGATGGTAGCTTGTAGAACCCCTGTTGTCTAGATGGTAGCTTGTAGAACCCCTGTTGTCTAGATGGTAGCTTGTAGAACCCCTGTTGTCTAGATGGTAGCTTGTAGAACCCCTGTTGTCTAGATGGTAGCTTGTAGAACCCCTGCTGTCTAGATGGTAGCTTGTAGAACCCCTGTTGTCTAGATGGTAGCTTGTAGAAACCCTGTTGTCTAGATGGTAGCTTGTAGCACCCCTGTTGTCTAGATGGTAGCTTGTAGAACCCCTGTTGTCTAGATGGTAGCTTGTAGAACCCCTGTTGTCTAGATGGTAGCTTGTAGAACCCCTGTTGTCTAGGTGGTAGCTTGTAGAACCCCTGTTGTCTAGGTGGTAGCTTGTAGAACCCCTGTTGTCTAGATGGTAGCTTGTAGAACCCCTGTTGTCTAGATGGTAGCTTGTAGAACCCCTGCTGTGTAGATGGTAGCTTGTAGAACCCCTGCTGTCTAGGTGGTAGCTTGTAGCACCCCTGTTGTCTAGATGGTAGCTTGTAGCACCCCTGTTGTCTAGATGGTAGCTTGTAGAGCCCCTGTTGTCTAGATGGTAGCTTGTAGCACCCCTGTTGTCCAGATGGTAGCTTGTAGCACCCCTGTTGTCTGGATGGTAGCTTGTAGCACCCCTGTTGTCTAGATGGTAGCTTGTAGAACCCCTGTTGTCTAGATGGTAGCTTGTAGCACCCCTGTTGTCTAGATGGTAGCTTGTAGCACCCCTGTTGTCTAGATGGTAGCTTGTAGAACCCCTGTTGTCTAGATGGTAGCTTGTAGAACTCCTGTTGTCCAGATGGTAGCTTGTAGCACCCATACTGTCTAGATGCTAGCTTCTAGAGCCCTGTTGTCTAGATGCTAGCTTGTAGCACCCATACTGTCTAGATGCTAGCTTCTAGAGCCCTTGTTGTCTAGATGCTAGCTTGTAGCACCTTGTAGAACCCATACTGTCTAGATGCTAGCTTGTAGCACCCTTACGGTCTAGAATATTTGGGTCGGTCGGGAGATGAGAAACACAGAAAAAAATACGGACGGCCTAACCAGTATGACAATTCCCCACTCATTGTGTAATTGTAGTACAATTAATGTGATTGGATTAATTAGTCTGTGCATTTGGGGTATGTTAGGGGTATGTTGGTCAGTAAGGTCACTAGAATGTGTTTATATTGATTTCCTGTGGTTTTGAAGATGGACTCAAGTTAAAGTGAAAGTTTTCACAGCTATTAATGATTTCCTGTGTCCATCAGCCCATCTAGCTAAGGTCACGTTACTGTATAAACTTCTCCAAGATAAAATGAGATTTACAATAATGTATAAATAGACTTCATCAAAGAAAGTGCGCCAGAACAACTTGATGAAATGAATCGCCACTCCAAGTGAATTTCAAGTTAATCAATCTGACAATGAACTCATTAAAGTGAGTGAACTGATTATATAATTTTATATATGTAACTTCTTAACTATACTAATACAATATATATACAGTCTCAGCTAGACTAATGCTTAGTCTCTGAATATATATAATTTTGATAGTAACAAACAAGCCCATTTAAATTGAAAAGGAGCCCCAGGGAGACCAGAGCCTGAACCTGAGGAAATCTAGACTTACTTTATTTAGGGCTTTAGCACTGCAGAGAGAGCTTGGCTTCGGGGAAAATAATGTGGTTCAGGGACTGTGAGACAGACTAAGTCTCAGCTTGTGTTTGTTCATTATTTGTGATGGGTGTGGGGAATTGCCTTACTGGTTACAAAACAGGTGTGGGGAAATGTCAAGATGGGGATATGTCATGTGGGGAATTGTCCTAGTGGGGAATTGTCCGTACACCAAGAAACATACCTTGCCTTCTTTCAGGGTGTAAACCAGAACATCAAATGATGTATGCAGGCACAAAGTTGGGATTAGTGAATGCAGCTAAATTTACAAAGGTAAGCTGACACATTTTTGTTTCATATTAAAAAAGAGAACCATCTGTCAAAATAGAATGCCCTTACACCCAGCCTGATGATTGTCATTCTGTCTGTTAACATAGCATGCCCTGTCACCCAGCCAGATGATTGTCACCCTATCTGTCAACATAGCATGCCCTGTCACCCAGCCAGATGATTGTCATCCGTCTGTCAAAATAGCATGCCCTGCCACCCAGCCTGATGATTGTCATCTGTCTGTCAAAATAGAATGCCCTGACACCCAGGCAGGTGATTGTCATCCTGTCTGTTAACATAGCATGCCCTGCCACCCAGCCAGATGATTGTCATCCTGTCTGTTAACATAGCATGCCCTGCCACCCAGCCAGATGATTGTCATCCTGTCTGTTAACATAGCATGCCCTGCCACCCAGGCAGGTGATTGTCATCCTGTCTGTTAACATAGCATGCCCTGTTACCCAACCTGATGATTGTCATCCATCTGTCAAAATAGCATGCCATGTCACCCAGCCAGATGATTGTCATCCTGTCTGCCAACATAGCGTGCCCTGCCACCCAGCCTGATGATTGTCATCCTGTCTGTCAACATAGCATGCCCTGTCACCCAGGCAGGTGATTGTGACACTATCTGTGAACATGGTCACCTGTGAAGATCAGGGTTAGAATTGATCTTCAGTAACCCATGCTTTTCATGTAAGAGGCGACTAACGGGATCAGGTGGTCAGGCTCGCAGACTTGGTTGACATGTCATTATTTCCCAATTGTGTAGATCGATGCTTGTGCTGTTGATCATTGTATTATCTGGTCCAGACTTGATTATTTACAGACTGCCGCCATATAGCAGGCATATTGCTGAGTGTTACGTAAAACTTAACTCCCTCTCTCACTGTTAACATAAATGTAGTCAGGTCAGTAACTATAGTCATGTCATCAAGGTACTCCTTATAAATGCAGCTTTAGAAATAATGTATTTCCTCTTGTTTTTGTTTCACTTTTCAGGTGTTTGAAATCAGAAATCCTGAGGAGCTAACAGAAGAATTCATTCTAGAAAAGCTGCAGTTGTTCAGATAGGGTGTCTGTGTTATTTGTGTGGTTGCTGAATGGCAGACATTTGTGACTGAGAGGCTGCAGGAGCAGGACAGCTCACTGTCTCCATGGATACGCTATGAGGAGTCTGCATAAGCTCATCTCAGTGTAATCATAGCTTAGTCTTGTTGCCATTTATGGTTTGAAATTTGTTTTAAGGAAATACTTTCTGATTCCTGTTTTTATTACTTTGATATATGGATAGGTTTGGGAAGTTGTATAAATACATAATAGTCACCCAACAATAGCGATTGTAGTGTCTCAGAGATTCTGCACTGCTTACTTTGTTTTCACCTGTTAGCTAACAAATCTCTTCGAAACTTGACACAGCCTAAAATGATATGTGTTGAAGTCCACATCAACAGTACAAAAGACCTGATTACTGCTGCGGTAAGTGTACCTCTGTGCTGCTGCTCCTGACATGTTGCTACACAAAGCTACTGTTGCCTCACAGTGCTTTCCTATTAGATCCTGTTCCAAACCTGCATCAGACTCACATGCTCAAGCAGGCATTGTCGTCTTATGATAAATGCAATGTGTTTAACTTCCTAGGGATGATTGACTTAGAATTAATATTGTGCACCAGTATCTTTACATGTCAATTGGGACACCAGTCTGCTAGAATATTCATACCAGCCATAGCACGGAGAGTTGCATGTTCACACTAGTATATGTGCACATTTGAAAACAAGCTCTGTGATAAGGTTACTGCAGCTAATCCAGATATTCCTTAATATAAACTAATGTCCAACATCTCTCTTTCTGAAACTGCTCATTTAGAACTGAGGAAACATTTTCTGAAGAAGATACATTGCTTGCCAATTTTAATGTCTTATGTGTTATTGTACATGATAATCATGTTGATTCAAGCATTCCTTCTCTCGTGGGCATGATATAGAAAGCATTCATTTACCTCTCCAGTCTGCACTTCAGTCTGCATCGATGTCGGTCAGTTTTGACCCGACGCCGCAGTAGTCAACTCCACTGTACACCCGAATAGTCAACTCTGTGTAACAATTGGGCAAGGTCTCTTCTTTTGTCAAACTAGATATGTAGTGTGTTGTAAATGTAATGTTTTTGTGCTTGTTTTGAGGATTTTGACACTATAAACTTGAGTTCTTAGGTGACTGACATAGCATAGCATATCCCCACATTGTGTTGGCAGCCTGCGTACAGGCCTAGGAAACTCAAAAATGATTAAAGGAAATTAGCCTTGCTCTTTGAAAATGTTTGATTGAGGAAACTATGTGAATTATGTTATATTATATGCTAAATGTCTTTTACAAAAACCTTAAATATCCTAAGTACTCAAACTGTTTTTCGATCAAATAATATGTTGATGGGACCAATCACCACCAAATGAGAATATATCATGAATATTGTAGGAAATATTTAAGCTATTAGATCAGCCTGTAAGTAACAAGCACCCCAGTGTCAGACCTAAACATTGCATGACAGTTCATGTTAACTGATTTTTAGAAAACTACAGCACTTGTGCATATGACTGCCCAGATGTTAATTATTTTTTTTATTCGTCCACTTTTGAACTAAATTTGTTCACTATATATGTTTGAAAACAAATATCATCGTACATAAACATACATTATGTATGGTTATTATAAGCCACATTATGACAAATGTGATACATGAGAGTTTGTTTTAAAGATTGGGAACATACCTAACATTGGACTGCTGTTATACTTTGCTACCTCCTGCCTCACGTGTGCTCAGTGTAGTTCAGTTGCCTGTTGAGATCTACTGTATTAAACAATAAACCATTACAGTTGCCTGTTGAGATCTACTGTATTAAACAATAAACCATTACAGTTGTCTGTTTGACTTCTTTATGATGAAGAGTTACGTAGTTCGATCATTCCATGGACACACATTGTTACTACATGTAAGTTGACCCACATTCTGCTCTGTGCTTCTGGAAGTGGACTGGTGCTTACCACGTAAATAAAGGATAAGTCTTGTTGAGACAGTGTCGGAGTATAAGTATCTGGGAACCTTCATTGACTCTAAGCTGAACTGGAACTCTAACACTGAAGCCCTATACAAAAAGTGTCAACAACGTCTTCATCTCATGCGTAAATTGAGATCTTTTAATGTTAACCCATCTGTGATGTCATCTTTTTATGTAGCATTTATTCAGAGTATTTTAACATTTTCCTTCCATTGTTGGTACGGGTCTCTCTCAGTTCATCTCAAATCTAAAATAGACAAAATTGTTAACACTGCAAGTAAAATCGCTGGAGTCAGATTTGAATGTTTATCATCAATATATGAGCGGCAAATCGTGAATCAAGCTGTCAAAATCATATCTGACCGTACTCACTACTTAAATTCGAAATACAACCTTCTCCCTTCAGGCCGCCGATACAAAGTTCCAATTGTGAAAACTAAGAGAGCCCGTACATCCTTTATTCCAAGTACCATATCTCTCTTAAACAAATGTGAAGATATCTAAATCAAGAATTTATGTAAATATGTTTGGTATCTCTCTAATGTGTCAGTAGCTCTGCTGATGTAACACAAATTCCTGAAAAAGTATTAAAGTATTATTCTATTCTATTCTATTCTATCATAAGTGAGATTCGGGAAGAGAAAGGTGTTTGAATCGACTCTCAAACATTTCAACTAAAATAATGATGTTATTATAAGACCTTGTTCATCACACCATCTTCATTCACAAAGTAGAGCTGGAATGTTCATATTGACAAACTCTTTATGTTGCTTCATTTATTCTACTCAAAAGAACTTAAAGAAAACCCACAATTGCAAGACTGTTGCAGTACCCACCCGTCATTGCATATATAGTTGTCATAAGAATCTGGGCCTAGATTTTCGAAGCTCTCTTAACGCTAAGATAGTCGTAAGTTAATGTTAATGTATGGCACTTACGACTATCTTGGCGCTAAGAGAGCTTCGAAACTCTAGGCCCAGGGTTTTTTTTATCTTCTTATGAGCAGTATCCTTAAGACAGGCCTGCAATGCCCAAAGTAAGCAATCTGTTGTATTTCATTGTATTATTGACACCAAACTCTCAATGACTAATCCTCAGGACGATTCACATGGGACCAAGGGAATGTCCTACTTACAAATGTGTCTGTCCATGCTTTTTTCTACTTCAGTATTACACCATACATGTTGTACAAGGATAAATGCCATATGGCAAGGTGCACACAACAGTATACTTATTGAATTATACAGCTTCTATCAACTTCAGTATATGCATGAATGGATGGTTTCAAAGGTCTATCTACACAGTCTTTGCAATGGTTCTCGTAAAGCAATTCCAGATACCCAGGTAGGGTCAAGTGATAGGAGATTGGATTCCTCTCAGTCATAGTAAAAGTACTATCATAAACCTGCTCCATACTAAACTAGAAGAAAACAAGCCAATAAGCCATTACCTACTGACATGTGAAGATCCAGGTCTTAAGCAACCTATGCTTGTTGTAAAAGGATACTAATGGGATCAGGTGTTCAGGCTCGCTGACTTGGTTGACACATGTCATCATATCCCAACTACATGGATTGATGCTCATGCTGTTGATCACTAGATTGACTGGTCCAGACTCGATTATCTACACACTGCCGCCATATAGCTGGAATATTGCTGAGTGCAGCATTAAACAACAAACCAACCATTACCTACATCTGAAAGCAATCCATTAACTGATTGTAAAGTTACTGGTTGAACAAATTTGATGTGGGAATTTTCCCCCCATTTCAAGACATGTAATTTGTGATAACTTTTATTGAATTAAAAATATTAAAATAAAAACTTTGCTCTGCACCTCTCCTGTAGATATGGAGGGTGATCCCAAATTTGAAAACAATCCATTCAAATGTGGTCAAATTATTGGTTGAACAAATCCATGGGGTTTTTAAAGTTCAAAATATGTAAATTAATGCAACTCTTTCCAGAAAAATATATTGGAACCAAACTTTGCACTGCACCTCTCCTTTAGACAAAGAAGGTGGTCTCCAAATCTGAAAACAATCCAAACAATAGTTTTCAAGTTATTGGTTTAAACAAAATGTCAAAGATGGATGGACTGAATTCCTTGGTATAACTATACACCCCAACCTGATATAATTAAAGAAAGAAACCAATGTTGTGTACATCATTTATTCCATTATATAGTCATTACAATTGGTACAAAATACTACATAGCAGCAAATACAGTCTAAGCCTTGTTATCTTACCTTCATGTAAAATACTTTAATTTCATTGGTCAATGACGCTTTAACAAGGAGGGTGACAACTGGACAACATATTACCTGCTGCCACGGTAAGCACCAAACTCTCCACAGAGAAGCTGTATTGCTAACAATCATATGATGTCATAATATGACAAATGCAGTGCCGAGTTCAAAAACCGTTCGATTAGTTGTTTTTGAGTTCACTGTGTACACATTTATTTTAACGACTTTCACTGCTATTTTAAAGCTATTTTATACATTGCATCATTTGCATACTCAACTTAATTCATAATTAATCATTTTTAAAGCAGTTTTAAGCTTGTCAGAATATGTTGCACCGATTTTTAAAATCCAGTCGAGAGGCAGACGCCATTTTGTTTACAGTCATATAGTTGGTAGCAACCATATCGATCTTCAAAATAAAATAAAATGATAGATTTAACATGGAGGTAAAATAAATATGTTGTAAACTTCACCTTCGGGTAATACGGTCTGATGTACGCCTTTTCATAGCAGTGTTACCTGAGCCCGGTAGGCTACCAACTCAGGTAACACTACTACAACAAGTGTTTGCCACTGATGTGGCAATGTCCCCTGCCGCTAAAGTATGAAATGTTTATAACACATTTACTACTTTTTATTTTTTGGTCACATACAAGATGCCTGAAATGACTGGTATCTGCATAATCCCCCAATGTAGGCTGTCACCAAATTTGAAGACATTGGGTACAACAGTGCATGGGATATCACGTTAACAACAGTTTGAAAAGTGTAAACATTTGTCGTGGTGACCTTGAAAATAAGGTCAAGGTCACCAAAATCGACTGGAGTCTGGGCAATCACCCAATGTAGACCGTCACCAAATTTGAAGACATTGGGTACAACAGTTCATGAGATATCGCGTTAACAAGAATCGGGACGTACGTACGTACGGACACCGCTGAATACATAGTCCACCGTTCCGCGTTGCGGCGGGGGACAAAAAGGCATACATCAGACCGTATTACCCCCTGAGAGAAGCATACAACTTATAATGTATACACTGTGTACAGCCACATACCCACAACCTTTGTTTACACAGAGCAAGTGAATCTTACACAGCACTGTAACTGGTGCTCATCATCACGTTGAACAAACAAGAAACTCCTTGCCATCAGTAGGAGTCAATAATGTTTTTAACAACCATTCTATAATCACCATATTAATATCATAAGCTAGGAATACAAATTGTACCATCTGAATCTTTGTCAAGCATAATACATAGCTGTTATTCTTACAATATGTTATTTGCAATAGTGAAACAGATTACCCGTTTCGATCACTCATCTCTTCATTTCTGCTAAAACAATTTCTACTTAAATTATGACAACAAAAGAATTAACAAATATGAAACAAATAACTATCAACAACTAACTACAACAGTGCTGCAAAAATGAAGGTACTGTTGTAGAACTGTTGTGTTTCAATACACTGCAGTTAAATTTTCCACAAAACTTCATGGTTCAAACATCATTATAAAATCTCAAATGAGATAAATGTTTCAGATTATGTTTTACTAATTGTTTAACAAAAGAACAGTCAAATCCTAATGATTTGAAATATGATGTCATCATAAGAAGGACCACACATGCCCACTAAGAAAAGACCCAGCATTTTGAGAGAATTTGTGCATACCGATGCAGTTTGAACACAAATGGCTGAGACTGACAGATTCAACAAATTTAGATGTCATCAGCAATGTGCAGTTTCAGCAACACTGGTTGTTTGATTTTTGAGATGCTGTTATAAAGAACTGAAAGAATTATAGAACATGGTTGAATGTAGAACAAAGGCTAACCATGTATAATGGGTCCCCACTACAAACTACACGTAACAGGATTTCAGGACATTATAAACCAAATGGCTGACTGATAGCCATAAATAGAGTTTTATATGGTTGTCATGGTGACCATTGTGAAAATCAGATTCAAATCTCTTGCTCACTTCAGTTTTACTGGTTCAATGGTTTGAGCAAAAAAGTATTACTGTGAGAGGAATTCAAGAGCATGGTCCAAAGTGCAAAGGTGGAACTAAGGTCAAAATTTTTAATTTCACCTCCCTATACCATACTTTCAGAAGTATTTTAACCTATGGAGCATTGGGGGATTACATGCCCACTGTTCCCTACCCTGGGGTTTAGCACGTATAAGGAATTCTACTTCTACGTAAAGCCTTGTCATAAGTGCATACACACATATCACGTAAACAGAAACATATATATACTCATGGAAACGAATAAGGGAACACACGAATGTACAGGTGTTCCTTTATTCTTTTCCAGGTTTCTTCACAAGATATATATTGCACTCTGGGGTGAAATTCTGGAAATAAATAAAGGAACACATGAAAGTACAAGTGTTCCCTTATTTGTTTCCATGAGTATATATTATCTGGATCTGCATATATAGAGTTCAACTACTAACTGCACAGATATATATTTTGTACTAAAATGGCCAAGAAATAGCATCATGACCAGGGCCAAACGAAATTGGCCAGTGGTCATTGTGAAGAAAGACTGGTTCAGTGGGTGGACAGCACGGCACACAAACAGGCCATGACACATAAACTCACTTGACTTCTATTCAGCTCAATTACTTAAAGGCACAATTTCACACATTTGTTACAATATTTTGGCCTATATTATACATATTGGGGCATATGGAGTCACTTTAGCTTCCTACTGATGCAATAAAAGACTTATTAAACCTTAACAACATGCCTGAAATTGATAATTGAAACTTCGAGGCAAACAGCTTCCAAACAGAGAACACTTGCCGTATATGGAATGTAAACAATTGCTCCGTAAATCGAAAACTGTCGCACGCTGTGTTGGCGGTGTTTGTCGAACTGGTTTCAATCACAAGTTGTGTGTAGGATATTCGTAAAGAGTGCTCCAAGGAACATACTCTATGGGGTTCACTTGAAATAATGTACGGCCGGTAGAGGGCACGAGAGTAGATATAACGCATTAATTCACTCAAACTTTTTATAAATTATGGTAGCTTCTGTGAGGGCTGATAGTTGGTATTATTGAGAGAAATACATTATTTATTTTTAGAGAGAAGTGTGGTGTGAAATAGTGCCTTTAAAACACATGGTACAGTTGATCAAAGACAAAAAAATAGGAAAACATGGCATGTCAGTTCATAGCTGTTTTCTTACAAAATCATCATGTTTGGGAGTTTCTATGAAACATTCCAATCACACACTTAGAAAATGTTAGCAACAATTCACAAACATCTTAAAACACTATCTATCATGGGTCTATTGAACTGGGAGATCCTAGTGCTAATGTGATCATAACATCCACACTTCAGCATAGACTTACGACTGTCATAGGGTTTCATTTGCTTCATGGAACAATATAGTGTATTGCTTCAATATCAGAAATCAAGCATAAAATCATAACCCAAATCATGCTAACTACAAAAGCTGAAGATGTAGGAGTTCCTAAATTCCAATAGCAGTGGAGATCACAGGTCCTCCCATAATTTTGAGTGAGTGAGTGCTGCTTTTAACAGTATTCCAGTTATATTGAATATGCAAACTTAATGTCAAGGGATACGAGAAGTGATGTTGGTCCCAGACATTTACAACTTGTATGAAAGCAAGCACAGGTATAGTGCTCACAAACCAACAGAAATGGGTGAACCTGGCTTGGAATATACAACCATAGGTTTCTGATCTGACCAAGGGATGCGACTGTGAGCAGTAAACTGTAATGACTAATACTAACTGGGCACCAGTGTCCTGAACCACACCATAGGTTTCTAATATGTCCATGGGATACAATTCTGCACCGAGAAAAGTATCACTTTAGACAACTGGGCCACTCATGTCTCTCTCTCACCCCCTTAATTTTGAAATCTGTTCAACAATCCAATGAAAATATGCTTATGCTTATGCTATTGTGTATCCAAGTTTTGTGGATGGAATATATCTTGGCAGCATAATATCTGGAGAAGAAATATCGGTGAGACTATCATCAATTTCACTGCCAACTGGATGAAAGTCATCAGAGTAGTTGGCATCGCTGCTGAGGGAAATCACAGCATTATCTGCATCTGAAGGCAGATAGGAACTTACTGAGTCTGTGTGCACTGATTCTCTACCTAATCTGGCTGGTCGCCGGGGTCGCGGTGTTGGACGTTTAGAGCTACCTTGAGACTGAGGAGTACCTTCCCTTGGTGTAAGTTCTTGACTTGGGCCCATGTCTAACTTCACTGCTGAACGTCTAGTAGCAGGCACAGGAGATTGCTCTGAGGCAACAGGATTCATAACTGGAAATTTGTGCATTGATGCCATGCTCGCAGAGACAACAGCTCCAGAGAGACGCCCATGCCGACCACTGTCCATTACGTCTGATCTGTCATCCTCATCACTCATCAAACCTTGTAATTCTGGCTCATCAGTTGACATAAATTGGTGAGTGTCATAATCAGAGGACTCTTTCATTCTGGGTACATTTGTGGAAAGCCTGGTTGATTCCAGTGGTTGATCATCATCTCTTGTTTCGCTCAAAGACTTGTTAGGTTGCCCATCAATTGATTCGGGGGAAAGATTCATTTCCCTTGCCAAATCCAGGAAATCTCATATTTTTACTCACCAGATGGTCATTTGGTATAGTGTCTCTGTCATCAAGCGTCCTGTCACTATCACCGTCATCGTCCATTTGAGCACTGGGTAAATGCACTTCAATACTCCGCTGACTCTGTTGATCACTTCTTTGACTGTTGTCATCAGTCTCAGTAGACATTGCACGTTTCACACTCAGATGCCTAATGTCTTTCTTACCATCATCTTTTCTATCTGGTTCTGCATGTCCCTTACACTTTTTCTTTGTAAAATTTGAACGTTGTTTAGGAGAAATGCTCCGGTCTTTGGGTGAAGGTGAACGCTTTCCATATCTATTTAACCACTTTTGGCCCCTCTCTGGACTGCCAGGATTCCTCCTTGCCTCTGTAGCCATACTTGAGTCACCTTTACTCAGGCCACTCTGGACTATAGTAGTGTCGATGGTCTGATCCCCTTTCTCAAGTTCTTTCTCAGCCAAACGCCTGACTTCAGTAAGAGTATCAGAAAAATTGGTAACATTCAGTTCAACATCTGAATCTGCAATGCTAAGAGCTGCAACCTTTTCTTTCTTCTTTTTCATCTCAGCTTCTTCCTTCTCCACAGTTTTTAGCCATCCTGGATTTGTTTTAGCCAGCCTGAGTCGTTGTGTATGGGTCAAACCAAATTTCAGGGGACTCTTCTTTACGCCTTGCTCAGGTAGCTGCCTCAACCACCCCTTGTTCTTTGGAACAGGAGAATGTGGCTCAGCACACTGTCTGTTGGACTTTCTTCCAGTTGTGACTTGTTCTTCTATTTTGGATTGTACCTCTGCTTCATTTATCAGTTGACCTGCCTTATGAAAAGGCTGTCTAGGCTGACTCAATTCTTCAAGTCGTTTGCTTGCAGACTTTGGTATTGGTGGTTTCTGATAAACTGTAGGGATCTGTCGACCACTCTGCTTTCCCTGAGTAATTTGTACAACAGTTTCCAATAATTGCGAGTTCTGAATTCCAGTGAGCTCATTTAGGAGAGCTGTGAGAATTGGGAACATGCCATTAGAATCTGTAGTTGTGACATCCCTAGTTCTTTGTACTTTTCCACCCTTTACTGTCTGCAATCCAGATGGTCTGTGGTTAGTCATATTATTGTAGACAAGGCCCCTCTTCTCTTTCACTGCTGTCTTAGTATTCATTATAATCAACACTTTCCATATCTTCAATGTTCAGGTCATCATCCTCAGATATAGTATCATAGTGTAGGAGTTTGTGCATTCTGATGGTTGGGTCACATTCACTGTTGTAAAACATTGGTGGTGGACATATAGTGTTATTGATGATAATTCCATCATCTTCATCTTTTTCTTCAACATGCTCTATGAACCTTTGCTTTTCACTTATGACTTTCTTCATCTTCTTATGCTTTTCTGTTTGTGTAGATGCTGTAAAACACTTCTGCTTCTGTTTCTGAGAATAATCATCTGGACATGAAATTGCCACATTGACTGCTTTGTCATTGAACTCCATGGTTTGAAGAATAGCATCTTGTTTTTCAACATCGGTCATAGATCCCATCTCTCGGGTTTCATTCAAATGTTGCACTGCATGGTGTGGTGTTACTTGAAGTATCTGACTCTGATGTATTGCTTCTTCTACTGTTTTATTTTCTTTTTCTGTTTGTTTAATCACACGACTTGATAAAGCAGCTTCTGGTAAATGTGGAATTAATCCTGGTCCTAAGCAAAGCAGCCTGAAACCTAAGACGAAGTATCCAATTTCTTTCCCCATCAAGCTGTAAACTTTAAAGAGACCTTTGTCACCATGAACTGAAGGAACTGTAGTGCCCAGTTTTGCAATATCGACCGAGATATCATCCATCAGGGAATTCAGAGGCACTGCACTATTCCCCATCAATTTTGGTGTGTCTGGGAACGTATCAATCACCATAACATAAAGAGGCGTGTTAGTCAAATGCATCTTTAGACTCTCAACCGGAATCTTGAACAGACATGACTTTCCTTTTTTCACCATAAAATTGCCGTGCTTGTCTTTCAATTCACCAAACTGATCTGGTAATTGGTAGTAAGGGTCGCGTGCTATCTTAGCTTTGATTGTATTGGCTAAGTCTGGTTCTACATGGCTGATTAATATCGTTGGAAAGTCAAGCAATCGGAATGCAATAGCGGGAAACCGACATGTTACATGCGGAACGTACAACTTCTCTACAACTAACTCTAGGGAGAACAACGATTCCTCAAGTCCCGGCATGATGAATCATGAAACTTGGCGTCTCAGAACAGCAGAGATAATGTTGCACCATGTACCAATGGTTGATACAAGAGGGTATTCACTGACAGATGCAAGGAAAATCCATAAAATCATTCACCATGTATCAAACACTTCCCGTGTCCTCCATCTTTGACAACAGCAAACATACTCAGAACGAGGCCATGTAAGGAGTTTCATAAAGAGTTATTTCCCATTTTTGTAACTCTTTTCTAAAGAAGGCCTAAAGAACATGGCGGGTTATTGAAAATATGTAAACATATGGAAGTTAGGTCTTGTGATTGTCTGTACCCAGCGAGCTTCCAATACTCATATCCATCAAAATATTTAGCTACGTGCATAACATTTAGACTATTTTCGACACGGGTGAGTCAATGTATGTAGGCCGACGGGCAAAAAAGATGATATTCACTATTTATAACTGTCTGTTACAATAAGCCTTGCTCGTTTTACGCGACGTAACGCGTCCCTCCCGTTCCCCCATCCCAAATAATATTTATAAAATAATATATACTAAAATAATTAACAAAACCAAACACAACAGTTACTAGAGAACTCACAAAAATAACTAAAAGCTCCCTAATTAATTACATTAGGGTCGAACCACTTAGCGTTACCTCTGTTAGTATTCATCTTTTGAAACACCAGTGAGCGGAGCTTATACGCACTCGCTGAGCCAGACAGCCGTGTTGCCATGCAGGCGTCATAGGGCATTGTATCGAGAACGTGCTTTCGAACAAAATCACATTACATTACGTAAAAGGGTATTATGACGTATTTTTAAAGTTTGTGGTGCTGTATTCTAAAGGTAGGCCCATCTTTTCAGCAAGTTCTGGAACATTATGATGGGAACAGCTCAAAAGTTCCAAAGGACAAAAGGGCCAAAACTGGAAAAGTCGAAATGGCTAAAGAAAAGTCAAAAGGGCCAAGGGAAAGTCAAAAGGGCCATAGGGTAAAGTCAAAAGGGTCAGTAGTTGCAAGATCGTTCAGATAATCAGGAGTCCTGATGATTGACAACTTGTGTGATGATGTGGGATTGATGATGTCGGTTGTGAACTTTAAAGATGTGTGAATTATGAAATTTGAACTACTTTAATATTTGATCACATATCAACAACTGAATATATGATTATCACACTGTGGCCCTATTGACTTTTCTTTGGCCCTTTTGACTTTTTCAATTTTGGTCCTTTGTGCTTTGGCCCTTTTGACTGCAACCCAGTATGACCCCTACTGTCATTACATCTAGCATGAATCAAAACTTACTTCGTCAAGAGTAATCCTATGACAACTATAAGGTCATTTGCATATTTTCCATGCTAAGAATATAATAGGAAGTAACGTATTATGCAACTTCACCCTGCACACGGCGTGTCAAATTGTATGGTATGTTTTAAGGCGGCATAACAATATTTTTTTACATTATTGTTACCTTGTATTCAAATGAATAGAAGTTTCAGATTTTTGGGTTAAAAACATGATGATATTACTATTCTGAATGGAATTCCTAAATAATTTTTGATAATAAAACTATTTAGATTCGTTACTTGTCTTAGTAAACGTTTCACACTGTCATTTGCTTGTACCGCGTGCCATAGTAAGAAATAGCAATACCGCAATAATACAGAGTTGCTTCAATTTCCCGGGTCAAACGAGACAATCAGATTGCCGCCATGGTATTAAACGGGTTGCAACTATGTGTCACATTATTTGTGACAGAAATGAAGATTAAATATCAGTCAACTGAAAATATATATAAAATGTTAAATGTCAGTAGCCGTTTATAATCCCGATGGCGACAACATTAACTACTGCGATAATAGAGGGACCCATGATATATACCAGTAAACTTTCATGGAAATCAAATTCACATTGTGTACATAGGAAAGCACAACAGAAGCTTTTCTTTATGCGAAAATTGCGATCTTTTAATGTAGACACTACTATCTTGAAATTATTCTACCAAACATTCATCAATAGTATTTTAACTTTCTGCTTTCATGCATGGTGTGGCAATCTTCCTCTTACACAGAAAAACAAACTTGCTAAAATTGTAAACATATCCAGCAAAATTTGTGGCTTCTGTTTCGAACCTCTTCCTTTTCAGTATGAGTCAAGAGTTAAAAAAGAAAGCTCTGGCCATTCAATCAGATGCATCACACTTTTCAAATGAATGTTATGAATTTCTGACTTCTGGCCGCCGTTTCAAAATCAAGTATTACATAACTAATAGAACTAATATAACTAATAGAACCCAATCAAGCGTAAAACATCTAAATCTTCCTCCAAAATTTGTATTAGTGATGTGGCACGAGTGATTATTATATTGTGTACTTTGATTATGATGTATCAATATATTGTGATTACCGAGTGTGTGTGTATTTTATATTATTTGCTGTTATATGCGTTGTAATGATTCGTATCTTATTTAGCACACATACGTGCACAATACCACAATCAACCATGATCATATTACGTTTGTTTTATACAACTTTAAGGCCCATGCAGCAGTCTCACTATTTATACAATAGGACTATAAATTCTTCAAGTTCAAATAAGCATAATATATTACAGCACTGGCATGCTTGGTCAAATTTTATTAAAGCTTGAAATTAGATACCAAAACAATCTAGAAACTTCAAAAAACAAACATTGGATATGACACTGAACACATACCTGGAGTTAGAAGTTCCCCAATGGCGTGTATATTAATATCTCAACCAACAAGTTGTACATTATTACTCAAAGCAAGTTTAATTCAAGCTTTTGTGAGTGGGGCAAGCCCCCCAAACCCAGTGGTTTCATGGAGACAGCAGTAAATTATATCACCAAGGAAGGAGCTAGTGCACGTGCACTACCAAAATGGCAGAAGCTGTCTAGTATACTGCATTCTTGCCTGTTCGTTTGCTGTAAAACATGAAACTAATATTACTTTTTGCTGATTAATAGAGAATTACACACAAGTGTCTTTGATAAGCCTCACATATTTGTTATTTGTGTCAGCTCAGCTTGATCTGTTTTATCTCAGAGGACAAGAGGGTGAAATTAATTTTCTCATCCCAAATAACTCTTCCAACAGTGTCTAAGTGAAAATAGTACATCTGACCAACCTTCGTTTGTGAGTGATTGGTCATAATGTCATGGTAACCGATTCTCTGCAAAATAGTGTGATGCAGTGCGTTGTAGTATCTACTTGGTGATATTCTTTGTTCTTAAGTGTTGTTCCTTTTCAATAAGTAAATTTTAGTTTTAACTAAGTTGCACATGCATTTTACATGGCACCCCTCTTTCATGTTTGTTTCATACTTATATAGCTGCACAAGGCAGTGTTACTGTTTTGACAAATAGGGGGATGATGGACAAAATAATTAGAAAAAAAAGATTATGCCTCGAGAGTGAATAGTGCAATTCAAAAACATAAAAAGAATTTCCATGATGGCACGAACTTTAAAATATTACCTGAACAAAAAGATTTTCCATGATATCAGACAACAGGTATCAGGATATATGCATTAAATGAAAATATGCTTTTCCATTGAACTTTCAGAGAGACAATCTAGTCTGAAAAAGTGTGATGAAAGGCATGTCTCCTTGGATTGTATGTGTTTCGAAGACATGAATATGATGCGTACATGCAATGAAATTATTCCAGCTACCACCTGCATGTTACCAGACTGTGCGAATGTTGCTTGCTGGAATTCCTGACATAAATTCAAAATGGTCATATCAGTTGTCATAAACAATGAACAGCAAACAGAAAACCCTGTTTCAAAGCTGGGGTAACAAACAATCTTCTCAGAAGCATACCTCAGATACAAAAACATCCTTGCAACCTTCTGTTGTTGATGATCAGGTGATTGACCTGTGTGATGAGGATCTGAATGAAGATGATGCCCTGCTTGTTCAGGCTTTGGATGAAAGCATAAAGACTGCAAACATAAATGGTTCTACCTACAGTGAATATGGTAAAAATCCCAGAAACTCAGAGTGTCCCCAGAGTAGCATTCCTTTCACAAAGGTGACTACTTCAGTCAGATCATCATCATCATCCAGTTTGTTTAACACATATCACAACACTTCAGTAGTGCAAGGCAACAATGAATCACTTGAAGAGGGAAACTTGTCTGTTGGAGCAGACAAAATTGCTGTGCATGTTCCCCCCACCAGCTCTGTGTCACTGTCACACATACCAGACTTGCCAGGGTTTGACAAGCAGGCTGGCCAGCTGTGGATCTACCCAACCAACTACCCAGTCCGAGACTATCAGTTCAACATTGTACAGCAGTGTCTGTACAATAATACTATGGTCACCCTGCCAACAGGCCTGGGGAAGACCTTCATAGCTGCTGTGGTCATGTACAACTATTACCGATGGTATCCACAATGCAAGGTGGTTTTCATGGCCCCAACCAAGCCCCTGGTAGCTCAACAGATCCATGCCTGCTATAACATTATGGGGATACCCCAGCGGGACACTGCAGAGATGACAGGTACCTTTTTCTCCTTACTCATCATTCATTATCAGACTGGGAACATTGGAGAAAGATGTTATACTTTTGCATACTGTTTTGTTAAAATATTGACTGGTTACAATGTTTGACCTGTCCAATTGTGTTTTCATATTACTTGGAGGGCTGGATGTATTGTTTTTGTTGCCATCAGTGTCTGGTTAGGACTTGGTAAAACTGTACTTGTCCTCATATTCCTGGCCTCCTGGAAGCTGCTAGGTTTGGTATCAATAAATGAGACAACATTCTCATTTTTCCTTATCCTGACTCATGCCATATTGCTTATCTCTTTTCCTGCCAACGTTTACGTGGAAACTTGAATCCCTTTGTTCCCAAGAACAATCAAAATTCACTCACCCATCTGGAGCCCCACTTTCCCGCCAAAAGTGCGCCCGCGTGACCTGTGCCATGTTCTCATCACTCTCTCCTTCATTGCCCAAGGGCGATTAGGCGGTTTCTTGGGACCCTTTTACAGCTTATATCCTTTATACTATTAGGACCTTCTATTATCATAACGATGTAGTTATTTGCATAAATTACGGCTAATTTCTGAGGTTTTCTCACTCCATTTCAGGTGACTGTTTCTATTTGGTGGCATGTAAACAATGCAAGTTACGCGTCTCAGTGGCTGATCCACACTCTGTTTGTTCTTCGTGCATTAACACATCGTGTTCTCTTGCCTCACGTAAATATTGTGCACGTTTATCAGAATTTGCATGTAATAAATTTTTGTTATCCCGTTTATGCAAGACTATGGACAAACTTTGCGTGACAGCAGGGTCGCCGCTGACAAGGGCATTTCCCAATCATCTGTTTGTGAGTTGTCTCTTCTACCATCCTCCGGTAGATTTTTTGGTGTCTCCTTCCAGGCTTATTCATGTCTGTCGCTCTTGCAGAGAAAGCAACTCAGCCCTTCTCTAAGAGGAAGTCTCCTCTTAGGGAGGGGTCTGATTCCAATAAGCTGGCAAAGAAGTAGAAGTTGTCATCATGGTCATCATCTTCGTGGTCGTCTATGTTGAAGCCACCGTTGTTGAAGTCATTGTCATGCTGGCCTTCATGTTCTATGAGACCTTCGAAGTCGTCGAAGCCTGCTGCTGAAGTTCACTTGTTCACAAACAATATGACACCTGCTGACGAAGTACATGATTCATCTTACTCACAACCACCTGTTCTTGAACCGCCAGGCAATCTACACTACACAGCGCCTCAAATGTTCCAGCAGGGTTCACGAACCCCTACGCCAGCAGCCAGTCAGCTTCTGCGCAGTCTACCCATGTCGCTCAACGGTTGGCGAACTTGCTAGCGAACCCCTCTACGCAGCTGGCCACTCTACATCAGCACCCTCAGCCTAGCAGCAGTGCTCCAGTCAAACTGCTAGCGTTCGCGAATGCTACCCGTCCTCGTCTTCAAGCAAGTACCTGCCTATGTTGCCTGCCCATCTCAGTGCATCGCCTGGTGGCGAATATCATGGGACAAGTTGTTATCGCAATGCAGTGGCAGCAGCTGTTGTCTACGGAACTCCAGCGTCCCTTCAACCAATCTACACCAGCGGCATCCCTCGGAGACTCCATCCAGGATGAAGCCCCAGCTTTGGACGACGACATCCAGAAGGATCCAGACTCGTCAATCTATACTGATGCTGAAATACTAGCTTGGATCGCTGACAGTCTGCCGATATCATCACCGACCGTGACTCCAACCCTAAAATGTTCCAGCCATGTTCTCTAACCCCTCTTCCAGCAGTCAGCCAGCTTCTACTCACGTCGTTCAATATGGCTGTACGCATCCGACAGTTCAACACGACTTCAACACGACTACTAGAAGGGCATTCCTTGGTCTGGCAAGGTCCTGCACTATCAATGAAGCGATGATCAACTCCTTACGAAATCTGAAGACCGACAAGGAGCGGATGTTCGTCACTCAGAGGAAGGACCAGGAGTTTATCACCTCGCATCTACCTTGGCAGGCATCACCTTATTACGTCATCAAGGTCTCCTCGCAGCATCTTTGTTGCCGGATCTCTACATGAAGTCTCTGCTACGCAAGCCCTGGGCAGCACCAATACTTTTTGATGGCAGCGTCCGACAGATGTCTAGAGAAGTGGCCAAGGACTCCAAGGACAAGATGCTGATCAAGTCTGTGCAGACCATGAACAACATGTACAGGCAGACTACTTAACATAGTCAGTTCCCGTTCAAATTTTCGGGAATATAGAAGGCGAAGGATAAGAGGTATCCGGCATCCTGGGGTGGCAGATCTCAAGGTTTTCATCGCTCATCCGACAACTCCAGAACTCACTCCGGCCAAGGTCGCTCCTCCGTCAACTTCTGGTCATCTTGTCAGTGAAGTTCAGGTTCTGAACGACTGATCCGTTCCACCCCTAGTCATTCCTGTGCAACCATCAACCGTGGGTGGATGTCTAGGCTACTACTTGGCGAATGGGAGAGTACTAGAAGATGACTACATTGTTCAAGTGCTACACGAAAGGAACGAGATCCATCTTAAGGCGACAAGTCATGTCACTGTCAAACCGCAGGTGCCCCAAGTTACAATGCATCAAGTTGACTGAGGCCATCGACTCGCTGCTCGCAATGAATGCCGTAGAGATCCTGGATCAACGCATTCTCACCCCCGGCGTCTACTCTCCAATTTTCCTGGTACCGAAGAAGAATTCCAAAGAGAAGTTCCGCCTCATCTACAACATGAAGCGTTTCAACCTAGACTATTTGCTGAAACCAGACAAGTTGAAGATGCTGCATTTACCACAACTGCGACATCTCATCACACCAAGTATCTACAATTCCTGTGTCAAGGGCAGCACTACCAGTGGAGGGTCCTCCCCTTTGGAATTTCCTAGGCCCCATGGCTATTTACATGTGTAACCAAGCCCATTGTTGCGTATCTACATCAGCAGGGATTTCGTAGCGCCTTCTACTTAGACGACTGCATCCAGGCATCAACTAGCAGATCAACTCAGACGTTAACTCCAGTTTACGATCCATCTACTGACGCAGCTGGGCTGGCTAGTCAACCACATGAAGTTGGAACAGAACTAGAGCCCTCACAGGATCTTCAGTTCCTCAGCATCAGGTTCCAGACCACAGAGAATCGCATCACTGTCCTAGAAGATCAATGGTCAAGTTTCCAGGTGTGTCTTCCAGCCGCTCTCAACTCACCACTACCGATAAGAGCGTGGTAAGGACTACTAGGCCTCCTCATGTTGGCACAGGCTCTCACGCGCAGATGAAGATTGCAGTTATGACTGCTACAACGCTTCCTCCGGCCTCATCTCCACAGTCTGCGGAAGGTTTCCATCTCTCAGCACCTGAAGTCCTATCTACTCTGGTGGACAGATAAGTCGAATGTCTGCGGCGGAACCTATTTGCAAGATCTGGCCCACAACCTTCATCTCTTCATGGACGCATCTCTACAAGGATGGGGAGCGCATTGCAATAAAGAGGTCGCATCAGGAACCTGGTTGCCGGAAGAAAGGGCTCTACACATGAACCAGCAGGAATTCAAGGCGGCCATTGAGCCAGTTCAACACTGGGCGCACCTGCTGAGGAACCAGCTCCTTATGATCCACACAGCCTTCTACATAAATCTACATTGCTCAACGAGATCAGTGCCTCTTCTACAACTGACGTTCATTCCAGTTCTTAAACCTAGCAGACAACCTCAACCTATGGATGAAGGCCTGCCACATTCCAGGGACGAAGAACGTCTTAGCCGACGCCTTGGATGTACAGAGTACAGAGTGGATGCTGCATCCGGAATCATTCCAGCTGCTGACCGAAGCCCAAGGCCGTCCTATCATAGATCTATTTGCAACATGCTTCAATCACCAGATTGCGACGTTTGTCTCACCGGTACCAGATCCACAAGCTTGGGCACTCAACGCTCTCGCCATATCATGGAATTGACTCTATGCTTACACATTTCCATCACCAATACTACTATCTCAGGTACTATGCAAGATACCTTCAACTGATTTTGGTCGCGCCTTACTGGCCAGCAAGAACCTGGTTTCCAGACTAATACAGCTCATGGGAGAACCAATGTTGCGTCTACCAGATTGGCCGAATCTATTGATCCACCCTCACACAAGACAACCTCACCGCAATCCAGGAGGGCTCCAGTTTCACGCATGGAACGTATTACGCACTGCCTGAAAAGAAGAGGATACTCCACCAGAGCAGCTAAAGCAGTTACACCGGCCTTAAGACGATCAACTCACAACCTCTACGATGATAAGTGGAAGAGTTTCGACCATTTTTGGGTGTTTTCGTCCGTGATTGCTTCACATCCACAAGTAGCAGAGTACCTTTGTTAACTGAGAGCTACTAGACACCTGAAGGGATCTACACTCTCAACATACTTGGGGGCGATCAGCTCCGTACTCACCGTGAATCCGGGAGTCAAGCTGACCAAAGTACCTGAACTCGTCCCTCTACTGAGGTCATTCAAGCCGGAAGACCAGCAGCTGAAGTTTAGAGCTCCTGCATGGGACCTCAACATAGTGCCGCAACATCTGGCCAGTGACGACTACGAGCCACTGAGACACACACATTCGAGCTGCTAACTCAAAAAGACACTGATCCTCCTCGCCCTAGCTACAGCTGCTCGGATGTCAGAGATACACGTCCTCGACTACGGACAAACTAGATTTGACTCCAGAGAGCATGTTGCAGTCCACCTGGGACTTAGAGGGACTTCATAACGAAGAATCAGCTACCAGGTCAACCAGATAGACAATTTCACGTTCCGGCATTATCTACAATCCACAGACCAGATGATACACAAGATCTGTCCCTGAGCCTAGTCACAGCCTGGAAGATCTACTTAGAACCAACTGCTACAAGGCAGACAAAGTTCAAGCATCTCTTCATCCCACTATCACCCGCCACAACTATTAAAGTCTCCCGAACAACTATCTCATTATGGATCAGAACTGTCATCCTTCGAGCCTACAGAGCAGCAGT